TTATCTCTTAAAGTCAGACTTTGAACACATTTAGACACGCTGACCTTAGATACACTCAGTTATGGCCCCAAATTTATTTTATAGTGCAGCATTTGTGTAGCGAGCCTCTAGAAAAACCTTCTGCAGTAAACTGGAGGGAAAACTGACCTATTAGATGAAGGAAGCATTTTTATATAAGCTTCAATTAGATATAAATTGTTAGTAGAAAGTCATAAGCAAAGAAAGTGCATTTTCAGTCATTTCAACATTTCAGCAGAAACTAAACCATCTTCTGTCACAATGCTTCAGAAGACACCATTTGGAAATGTTACAACAGTGCAAGCTGAATTTGGTTATTTTTGATGATCAGATCTGCTTTACAGAAGGAGAATTGCAAGGCTTCTAATGTGGGGCGGGAACTGGTCCATTTCAGATGTCCTTCAGGGTGTCTTGTCCCTTGGGATTCTCCAGCCAATGAGGAGGCCAGCTGGCTTTGACGCTGGGCCTTTCCTTCATCAGAGCGTGGTACTCTCCTAGTTTGGGGTAACGCTCAGCAGACAGCCTTCAGAGAGACACAGGAGACCAATACTGAGCCATAACTGATGTTTACAAGTAAAAAATAAAATACACACACACACACATACATATATATATATATATATATATATATATATGTTGGTTCTTCTTACCCAAATCTGAAGAGAGTAGCAACAGTTGGAAAAACGACCACGTCTGTCAGAGTGACAGACTTTCCTGCCAGGTAAGAGCCAGAGCCCAGCTGGATGGGGGACAGATTTATCATGTTGGATTGCAGGAAGAAAAAAAAAAGCTACTTTATATTCATTAATTCACCAAACCTTCTCTAGGTAACCCTCCCAGAGTTTGAGCTCAGTGACCAGGGCCTCTTTGTTCCTCTTCAGAGCTGAATCGAGCCGCTCTCCTTCAGGAACATAGTAGTCATAGAAAATAACTGCACCTGGAAAACAAAGGAATTACCAGGCTATTAAATGCTGTCGCCAGGAGCTGCACCGAATAAAAAACATACTTGAATCCAGAATTTGAAATTATAGCACTTGAAGTGTCACATTCGACCCAGTACTCCAACTAAAGTTGATCTTACAGAGTTTATCGTAGAAGGCGAGGCCTTCAAACATGCGTTGGTACATCAGGGCTTGCTCCTCGGCTCCGTCTGGGATCAGTTTGGTGCCCTGGGATTTAAACTGACTCTGCAAAACAAAATGATCATGACATCATTTTTTTTTTTTTGTGGTCTTATGAAACTATTCAGAGTGTTGCTTTGAGGCTGACTTCCTTACCTCAAGGTAAAAGCAGGCAGCATAGGATTCATTAACAACAATGTCTCCATGTTTGAATGATGGAACCTGGAAAATAAAGAAATGTTATGAGCAACACAAAGGGTCACAGCTTTGTTTTATTGATCTAAAAGTTAGCCAAGCTTCTTAATAGATCAGTTTATCCAGGTTTGGGGAGATTTTGTTTTTGCTCTGGATTTTGACTGGGCTATTTGTTTGTTAAGCCTTTCAAATATTCTATGCTTACAATCATTGTTCATGGTCACTCTCCTACTGTGGAATTACAGCTATTCTAAAGTAAACCTGATAGTTTCTCTTTTAGATGCACAATCTATTTCTAAAGAAATTTAAGATTAACCAAACTTTTTCTGATATTTTTTAGGCCTAAAGCATTTTTTTAAGAAGGTAAATTCCCTGGGATGTCCAGCAGCCTTTGGAACATTAGTAACCGTTTTCAGTAAATCTCATAAAAAAATTAAACTTTATTGATCTCACATTAGAGAAATTAACTCTCTGCATTTAACCCATCCCCTTGGGGAGCAATGGGCTGCCATTGTGCGGTGCCCAGGGAGCAGTCTGTGGGGATTGAACCAGGTACTTGCAACCTCCTCAGAGGAAAGGCGCACTGCTCTAATCCACCAGGCCCTGAATGTAAATATTCTCATGTTCAGATAGTTTTCCCTTATTTCTCTTATTAAAAACAAAGTGGAACCTTTAACGTAGCCTCATATACTTACTGTTAGAGCTAATTTGACATAGTTTACATACTTTTGAATTAAAAAGGAGCAAGAACAGCTCAAGAAATCTTATCCATATCCTCAGCTGATAACTTGCCAATAAATGTTGCCCTTGGCGACCCGTTCTTCTGCATCTCCACCCTAAACAGTCTCTAGCTGGTTGAATGATAAGGCTTGTCTATATGCTGCAATTCTTTATACTTTTTTCTGGCCCATGGTTGCCCTGATGCCTCCTCCCAGAAAATACAAAAACATGTATTTCTTATATATATATATATTTTTTTTGTAAAGACAGTTCTATTAATTTTCCTGTTTGATCTTGAATACCATGTGCATGTTAACTATTTATTGTACCTTAAAGTTTAAACTCTCAATGCTCAAGTGCAGCTAAGTTTGGAAACAGTGCTTATGATGTCCCACTGATCATGACACACTGGGCACTGAGCCGTAAAGTGAATTCTAGTACATTCCTCCTTCCTTTTTTAAAACCATTCGCTGGACTCCAGATCCTGCTGATAACCAGACAGTCAGCTTAGAAATGTCCAGATAACATCTATTTAACCACTTCCTTGAAGCTCTACACCTGACAGAGGCGTAGCTAGACATTTTTTCTAAGGGTGGCCAGGCACTAACCAATGTAAACTGAGGGACAGCCGAAAGCAGATAGGCGCCAGATTCTCAGGGCCAATCTACAACAGGAAAATTAATGGGCACAATATCCATATTTTCTAAATAAAGACCAACTATACTTTTCTACAACCTTTGCTGACAAATAGACACATAAATATTTAAACATCTGTGCTTTCTAGATAAAAGGTATAGTGGATACAATTCTTTGAGGTTGGAGTTTTGGGCGAACTTCTTTCCCATTGTCTTTACTTACCTACTTTTATCATTCTGCATAAAATAGATATTTACAAGTACTAATATCTACATAAATAGATTATTTAATATATTTTATTAAAAAAGCTATCAATAATTTTACTGAAGACTCAAAGATGACTTGCAGATACATAATTTTCTCTTTACCTCATATAACACAAAATCTAGTTCTGAAAAAAGCATGAATTCTGTACTTATCTTTAATGTCAGTATATTGATGTGTATAATTTAACCTGCGTTTTTGTTGTCAAGTAAATGTTAACATATGAAAAAAATGTATGTTTTAAATATTCCACTTCAGCGTATTACTGTTGCCACCATCTGTATTAGAGGGGAAAAATAGGTAGGGTAAGCCCCATCTAGCTCCGCCCCTGACAACTGACACTTATCAGCACCGTGACCAGACAAAACTGATTAGAGCAAAATGGAAGTAAAAATGCTTTACTATCAGTGGCGGTTCTAGACCAAATGTACCAGGGGGCCAGGAGGGGGCCAGCATTGTTTTCATGAGGGCCCAGAAAAGCATGAAATAAAAAACAGGGCAAGGGATTCAAATATATTAAGAGAGCTACATGAAGAGAATTTGTTTCTATTCAATTAGGTTTAATTAAAATGCTCTGTCTTATTAGGTCAATATACATTAATAATTTAGGAATTTTACATATTTTTTTACTTAATTTAAGAAAAAATGACATATTCTGTAAAATCTAAATTAGAACCAAAGAAAAACTGAAAAATTCAGCTGCAAAAATTATTATTATTTTTTTGTGTTGTGCAACAGCTTTGATGACAGAAAAAATTGGAAATCCACAAAGGCCACAGATGCACCATGAACTTCTATAACGCAGGCAAAAATAAAAAAATTTCCAGGTACTCCTTTAGTTTTCTCCTCAGACAAGCAAAAAAAAAAAAAAAAAAAAAAAAAAAAAAAAAAAAAAAAACAACATACTCCCACCCAGATGCATGCTGCTCCTACATTGACTGCCTATTTATAAAAAATAATTGACCTAAATTAATCATAACTAACCAAAAACAAAGGAACATGACTAAATAACCAAAAAACATAATCTCATAACAGATATCAAATAATAAAGTAAAATAAACTTAGCTAGATCATGCACAATTTTTTTTTTTTATTATTAACAACAGATAATTGGCTCCTAAACTTTTGTTTCAAAAAAATAATTTAGCAGATGAAATCCGGGGTTCTATTTCAATACCACTGAAGCGATCACCTAATTGTTTTTAAATAATTAGCAAAACAGAATTAAAAACAGAAAAATAAATAGATCCAAAGGACCCATCAGTAACCATGTTTGTTCCAGAGCAGATCCAGTACTATGTCTTTGGTACAGGGGCCATAACAGTGGCACTGCCCCCTGTTGGCCCCCGTCTAGAACCGCCCATGTTTACTATTATCAAGCTCCGAGCAAAAAGTAGAGCATTAGTAGATTTTAAACAATAAGAACATTTGACAAACATAACTGATGCTTATATTTTAGGCCCCAAACATGTTAAAAATGTATTTAATTGATATGTTTTCTAGGGGTGCAGAAACCACTGCTGAAACGGATCCATTTTCTTTATTTTGTGAGAAATGTAACCTTAAAACTGATGCTCTGCAGCAGGGACCTCGTGCACTGTTTCATTAACTTTACTCTCCATATAACAGTTTGTCTCTTTGCTATTCTTTATATATATTAAACCGATACCCACCTGTCCCCTTGGATTGATATCTAACACTTGCTGGGACTTGTGCTCCATTTTGTCAAAGGAGAGCAGTTTACTGTTGTAACCCTGCAGATTCTTCTCCTCCAGAGCGATCATCACTCTCCAGCAGGGAGGAGAGCCGGAGCCCCACAGCAGAGTCATATCTTTAGCCATGGTTTTAGATTCAACTGCTTCAAAATATCACGCCTTTAACAAGTTTTAAGTCTGACAAAAACGCTCACGCAGCAGGATAGATTTCTTCTTGATTTTTTTATTTATACGATTCCAGAGAAATGTGATCTCTGTTGCCCCCAAGTGGCTGGGGAAGGCAACTACACGACAAAAGCTTCATTTACATTGAGTAGCCTGTGCTGCAGTTTTTATTCTATATATATATATATATATATATGTATATGTTTTTTTCCGAGTTTGAAATTACAAAGAATAAGCAAATGTAGAAAAGATCATGGAAATATTTTTGTTCTTTAGATTTCCTTCAGCATCTCAGCTCTTTGTTCGTGTTGGAACCACTTTTGGGGCCAAGTAGTTTTAATGCTGGGTCTGTCCTTCAGAAGGTTCAAGTACTTGGCAATTTTGGGGTAACGTTCTGCAGACAGCCTGGAAAACAGAAAAATATACAAAGTTATAATGTTGAGAAGAAACATTCGTCCTCCAGTAAACACCAGGTTCCTTACATACCCATACTGGAAGGCATAAGCCAAGCTTGGATAGACAACCACATCAGCTAAGGAGAAGGCCCCTGCTAGGTAGGAACCTGCAGCCACCTTTATGCACAAAACAATAGAAAAAAACAGAATCATCACCGAAACAAGTAACCTTTTCAACATGTTAGGTTCTGTAGTGTTCCTAAACATACATTTTCCAGGTATTTCTCCCAGAGTTGAAGTTCAGTGGTCAGATTCTCCCTGTTTCTCTTCACAGCAGAGTCGTGGCGCTCTCCTTCCGGGACAAACATGTGGTAATACAAAACCGTAGCTGAAAAAAAAGTGTTGATATTAGTGTTTCTTGTATGGAGATGGATGTTCAACTGCATTAGTCAAATTTACCTATTTTCTGCATGAGAGTGTTACCCTCCATCATACGCTGGTACATCAGAGCTTGCTCTGCAGGACTGTCAGGAATCAGCTTGGTGCCCTGAGACTTGTACTGATTCTTTTAACGAAGGAGACAAAAACAATAAAATCATCACAATTTTTCTTTCATAGTCTTTATGTATTACAATCACAGTGCTCCATACTTTACCTCCAGGTATAAGCATGCTCCGATGGACTCATTGATTATTTTGTCTCCATCTTTGAAGGAAGGAAGCTGGTGGAAAAATATAAATATAATGACTTTAGGTTTAACTGTTCATTTTGTAGGATTGATACCTGATCTAATGTAGACCATGATCATCAAACCGGTAATTATGGAGTACTTGTTTCCTCAGTACCACATAGTTCTAAAATAACCAATTTGCTCAGCCCTGTGCTAAAGGGATTGGGGGTGTTCAACGGCTCTCAGAGCATATTTCGAAGCATTTTTTAGATGTAAAGTTAAAAACAAATGTAGCCAAACAGGAAAAATAGCTAAATAACAAACAGAATGTGAACTGGATTATATCCAACCCAAATAAATCATAATCTAGTTAGAAGTCTGAAAACCAAAAAAACATGTCCTAAATATTGCATGATCAAGGAAATGTATATTGGGTTGGTAGTATGCATATCTTTACATTATATGCACTAAATAAGGGGTCGGCAACCCAAACTGATCAAAGAAAATCCATATTGGACCGAAAAAAACAAAAAATAAATCTGTCTGGAGCCAAAAAAATATAAAAGTCTTATATATGCCTCGTATGGCAACACGGGCTCTAGTGTATTAGCCCACTATAGAAAAGGTGGTCGGCTGCATATTTAGCTTGCCTTCTCCATATATTGGAGATGCCTTTTATAAAATTTTCTTTTCATTTTTTGACAACCTCTTATTACAAAGCAAATATGCAGGTAAGCAAAGGATTTGCTCCATTCTTTAAATCCTCATTTCTCATCAGTTATCCTCCTTTTTTCCCTTTGGATTCCATGGTCCAAGACACTCCTGCAGCTTTGTTTGCCTGGCACTGCGCTGCTCTGGTTGCAAGTTAGGACCACGGATCTCTATGGCTATGACGCAAATTATTGTTTAAATGTATTTATTATACAAATGTTTACAGCATTGGAAAACATTATTTATTTTGTTTGACCTCCTTGATTTTTTTTATTATCAAAAAAAA